CTACCCTGTCCTCACATTTGATACAGTCTGCATTTAAAGACTTGCGTATTTACTCCACCTTTTTTTTATTATTAATTTTACTGGTACATTTTAGGTATACAATATAATGACATTCATCTTTGGAAATTTATACCTTTACATAATCTATCTTAGTTCTTATTTTTTCCCCATTCCCCTTCCCTCTACCTTTCTTAAAGAAATCAGTCAAAAGAAATGTCTATCCCTCCTGGGCCCTAGAGGGTCTCTAATGACACTGGCCTTCTCCATTTTCCAGTAACAACACTTCTGTATCTTAGTTTCTCCACAAGGCTGGAAGTATCTTATGAGCAGGTACCAGGGCTTAGTCTAGCACACAAAAGGTACTCAACAGGTAATAAGTGACTATTAATTACTGTTTGCCACAAAAGAGCTGCCAGGGAAGAACACCTTCTCCTTGCAGAGCTGACCTTCCTGGGAGAGATGGGCTCCTGCTGGCAGAAGTGTGAGGCCAGCTACTTGTGTCTCATGTCTGGGAAGAAACATTGTGCCTATGAGCTGGAAATGTCCTGGTAATCAAGACTCAGCCAAGGCCTTTTTAAGTTCTTGTTTGTATTCTGTTGTTAACAGTCTTATTTTTTTCCACTGAAAGGCAAATAAACTTTTTTAAGTGGACTCTGATGAGCTGTTCTGGCTAATGACCACCACATTCACAACAGGTACCTAGATATAGTGTGATCCAAGTGTGCGAGAGCAGTGATAGCTTGGTGAACATGCTCCACAGGCTACAGGTTGAGAATCACTGAGTCACAGGCCATGGCCAGGATTGGCCAGTGTGAGATCTTTCCAATTTAGGAGAAGGGGTATTAAGTAAGGGACCCTAGGATTGATCTGAGGGTGAAAATGTGATTAGTGGGGGAGCTGAATCTGAGGTTTCAAATAAATACTAACCATGTGGAAGAACGTTGTAGGGGAGGGACCAGCATTAGAAAAGGCTTACAAAGTGACTTGGGGATGCTGGGGATTTAGCTCAGTGGTTCCAACACCTGCCTCACAAGCGCAAAGTCCCAAGTTCAATTCCCGGCACCAAAAACAAAAAACAAAACAAAGTGACTTGGGAACTCAAAATGGAGTAGTATTACTGAAGTACAAAATCAAGCTATCCAAGGCTAAATGAGGTAATGGAATGCAGGGGCAGGCCCTTCATGTCTTAGTAAGCCAGCCTTAAAGTATTTACACTGTTACCGAGAGGCAGCAAGGAATAGTCAGATTTATGTTTCAGAAAAATAACCCTGGCTATTGTAGGAAAGAATAATAACAAAGGAGAGCCTAAGGTCAGAGAGGCCAGCCAGGAAGCTGTTGAAATCATTCTGGAAAGAGGGTCAGAGTCTGAACTAAGGCAGTGGTGATAAGGATAGAAGGGGCCAGGTAGCAACATTTCAGATACAAACTAAGTAAGTAATCTCTCATTTCTGGCTATCGCTGCCTCTCTCCAGCTCATTTTGGAGTTTGCCATTCATCTCCTGAACATCACTTTTCATAGCTATTTTTTCTTTTATTTTTAAACATGTTTATAAACATTATTTCAAAGTCCTTCTCTGCCAATCCCACATTTCGGTCGTCTGTGGGTCTGTTTATCTTTGAGTCTTTTTCTCTTGATTATGGCTTAGGTTTCTTCTTCGTATGTCTCATCCTTTATTGTGTAAAGGACATCGTGAATAGTAAATTGTAGAGACTTACAAATTCTGTCACCTTCCTCTGAAGAGTTTTAATAGGCAATTAATTATGAACAGCTAGTCTTTTTTAGGGATGAGTACTGTACTTGTCACATTGAGACTTTGTGAAGATGGATGTCTTTCAGTTTTTCCCTGAGTCCTAGGGTGTAACATTTCTGAGATGATGTCCTTCCTTCCCAAAGCCAGCCCTTCTGGGGTTCCAGTGGAAAGCCTTGTGTGTCTCCCAAGTACCTGTTTAACTTGGTGGGACTGGGTAGATGCTTCAGGAGAAAAGCTGCTCGTTTGTAGGATCTACATGGTTCTCTTTCAGAGGTAGCAACTCCTCCATTGTCTACCTGCTTTGGGTCACTTTTCGGTGCTTGCAAATTGTTATGGTTCTGACCTTTCCAGAGGTTAGAATAGTTTGATACAAGCTGCTCAGCCATTACAAAATGCAAAATTGAGTAATGTAGTTTGAAGCAGAGCTGATATTTCTGTTGTACAGAGATGGTGCCTGTACTTTGGTACCAGTCTACCAAGCTGTGGGAGGTCTGAAGTGGCTCCATGGCCTTGATGGTCAGGGAAGGTACCCATAAAGTGGACAGTTAAGGCAGCAGAGGTTGCTTTGATGTAGCAGTTTTGAAGTGAGAAAAAAGGCAGGAGAGAGCTGGAGAAATTGAAAGTTAACCGCTTTTAGCCTTAGTTTTCCTTATTGTCACCTCTTTAATCAGGCTATATATAATAAGATGTAATAGAGATATGATATGTTGGTGTGCAATAAATGGTATTTCTGATTATGGAGGCCGCGGTACTGAGCTTTGCTGGGTCTCGATCCACTGGCATAATTTCTTGTCATCTGGTTGCTTCTCTGTCCCTCATGGAAGCAGAAGTGAAATGGAGTTATCATTGTTACACTTAATCATCAGTCTGTCACCATCCAGGTGCTGACCTTTGAGGAATATGATTCTCCATGGTTCTTTGTTATTAGTTAGAGGGTAATGAGGTTGTGTTAATAGAAACCTAAAATGACAGTGGCTTAAACAAAACAGAGGATGAAGTCTGCATTATACACAGTCTGGGTGTCCAGCACTTCTGGGATACATTCTCAGGATAAATGGATCAGGCTGTGTCCATCTGTCGTCACTGCTCTTTCAACCTCATCTGGAGGATGTAGCAAAAGGAGGCAGATGTGGGCATATCCACCCACCCACAAAAGACCCATCCCCGAAGATGTGTACAACCTTTGACCGGATCTTAGCCAACCAGCAACAAAGAAAGCTTGGAAATAGAGTCTGTCACAGCCACGAACCCTTTTACACATCTGAAATTGTACAATGGAGACATCTGGCAGTCTCTGCCTCTAGTTCAGAGCCCATGAATGTGCTTTTGCCTCAAGAGTCACAGAAGGAGCTTGGCAGTCCTGGGAGCCTGGTGACCATTGATGAGTTGAGACATTTCTGGCTGCTCTGCACATCTCCTTAAGGGTGTGAAAAGATAAGACTGCCAGTCAAGATCCATCAGTGAAAAAAGTGTGTGACTGCTCGGGAGTGAAGCTATGTCCACAAGCATTTGTCAGTTACAGACTAATTCCCTGGTGGCTCTGCTAGATAGGACACTGCACAACTGGGCTACAAAGTGCTCAAGTGCTGCCCAGCTTTCAGTGCTGACCCTGCCGGCACTGTTATGGATTGACAAGAGTCGCACTAGGCCTGACCTTTAACTCCCAGGTCTATTCTTCATCTCTAAAGTAATTGGGTTGGGTTGGGTCAAAGGTGTGTGACCAGTGCCCATATTCTTGGATTGTATATTCTAGCATGTAAAACTCTCCCTAACATGCAGCTCTCCATTGCATTAAGTAGAATTCCAGGAGAACACAGCCATGTTCAGTGCTTTGTGAAAAGTATTGGACAGTGATTTTGTTAGTGTGCAGGCCTGTACACATGGTGCACACTGGGGCCCTGGGAGACCTGAGCTTTTCTATTTCCATGGGCCTTCCTTGGTTGTATTTTTTTTGTAGTTAGAATTCACACCACCATTTTTCTACTCTTTGGAACTTAATTTAAACTATATTTTTACTTCAAAAGACCTTTCCTTCTAATTTTAGAATTGTGTGTTCATGGTAGAAAATAGAAAAATATATAATAAAAGGAACAGAAAATTTCCCATAATGTCAGACACAGGTACAAAGTGTATCCCAACTACTTCAGTATTAGAGAAAATATGAAGAATACTCACATCTACTTCAGTTAATCAAACTGGGATCACACTATTCATGATGTCTTACAGTAGTTTTTTCACTCAGTGACTGCCCAAATCCTTAAATTCTTTTCAAGACATGGTTTTGAACAGCTTGTAAGTATTGGTAGACCATACTGTACCTAATCAATGCCGTAGACACTCAGGCTGAGTCTTGAGTTTTGTTGTTAATTGCACAATAGTGACATCTCCATTTTACACTGACAGTGTGTTAGTGCCTACTCATGACACTGCATGCACATGAAGCCCATCAACGTTGGGTGGCTTGGCTAAGGCCACACAGCAAGTGAGTGATGGGTCTAGGCTATCTGGTTGCAAGGCTGGCTGCTGCTCCCAGTTGCTAGGACAGAAGAGGCACAGGTGTGGCACAGGGGTGCTGGTAACAGTTAACTCCCAACATGGCTTAAGAAGACAGTTGAGGATTTAGCTCAGTGGTTCCACCACCTGCCTTGCAAACACAAGGACCTGAGTTCGCTTCCCAGTACCAAAAAAAGGAAAGCCAGTGGGGTATCCAGCAAGATGCTGTTCTGTATAGTCTGCAGGGCTGTCACCAGAGGCCACCCAGCTGCTCTGTGACTCTCTGCAGTGACGTGATCTTTCTTGGGACAGTGATGAGCCAAAGCCTGTGTTCTAAGACTCAGTGGAGAGGCTTTGGAAGCTAGGGAATTCTAGGGATGGGGAAGCTGCTGAGCTCGCCTGAAGGGCAACAGGGATGAACATTGTAGCAGCCTTGCTATCTGGGTGGGACCTCTTCTGTGTACACACACACACACACACACACACACACACACACACACAACACACACGCTGTCACCCTTCCCATAGCATTTTTCTCTTTCACTCCAAAGAGTATCCCTCCCTAAAATATTTATCTTGTCCTTGATTAGTTCAAGCTGCCTTCATCTGAAAGAAACATTGAATGCAGAGTCTACATTAAACTTGGTGTGGGTGTCCCTTCTTGCTGGTTTATTCCTCGGTCTGGGCCCATTGAGCTTTTGCCCCCTTGCTTTGCAAAACTTTCCAGTTTGACCTTTCTGTATTTTTCTGTAACAGGCAACCATTGGGATTGATTTCTTGTCAAAAACCATGTACTTGGAGGACCGTACGGTGAGCACCTGATCTTAGAATGGGGAGGACACGGGAGGCTCCATTGGGCTTATATCTTGGGACCCTTAGCTGGGCACCCCAGAGAGTCTATGCCAAGCCTGGGGGCTGAATGCCAGCATCACAGAGATGTTCCCGAGACCTCTCCACCAGGAGGAGCTCACTGGCTCACCGACCCCTCTACTCTGGCCCTGCAGGTTCGACTGCAGCTTTGGGACACAGCTGGCCAGGAAAGGTTCCGTAGCCTGATCCCCAGCTATATCCGGGACTCCACGGTGGCTGTGGTGGTGTATGACATCACAAGTGAGTGACGAGGGTCTGTGCTTAAATGGAGGTTGCTGTCAGGGGATGCAGGGCCCACGACCCTGCCAGGCCCGGGTCTATGTGCTCATACACACACGTGTCCCCAAAAACTGGAGGGCTGGTGCTTGGGGATAGAGGGTGAGTTGCTGAAGCTGGCCTGGCTCCAGTCTCTCTGCCTCTGCCTTAACCTGGCTGGTGTGTGTGTGTTTGTGTGTGCGTGTGCACACATATGCACACATAGGTCAGGGTGGGAGAACATGCTAGTCCCTGGGCAGAAGCAGCTGTGATTCGTCAGCTGGCCTCTCAGCTCCTCAGCGGACTCCCTGGAGGACAGCTGTTCCCCTTAGCTCCAATTGTGGGGAGACTGTGCTATAGAGCTTCTGCTTCCCTGGGGGCTGCTGTGTCCCCTGCCTCGTCCCCCACTGTTGTCAAACTCAGCTAAGGCAGATGCACTCATTTTTCACTCTCTGAGTTACCACAGCCGGATCTGATTCTCACCCTTTAAACCCCTGTTCTGGTAGAAATCATGACACAGTGACCTTCCAGATAGAATGCCTCTTCCCTCAAAGGATGGCTGGGTAGTGCAAGGGGTGTGAGGGCTGTGGGGCAGGCCCAGCTCCCTCTATGAGGCCCCAGCTGGCCTCGTCTATATGGATAGTGCTGCCCTGTTCCAGGAGTCAGAGTATAGGCTCTCCTGCCCTCCTCTCCTGATCCCCCTCTGGGGCCAGCCCTCCCTTGCCGTTCATCCTTACTTTCTGCCTCCAGATCTCAATTCCTTCCAGCAGACCTCTAAGTGGATTGATGACGTCAGGACAGAGAGGGGCAGTGACGTCATCATCATGCTGGTGGGCAACAAGACAGACCTGGCAGACAAGAGGTAAGTGTTGGGGCACAGAGGTGCAGGGCTGAGAGACCCAGCTGCTCCCTCACTTTTCTGTAACTGCCCTGATCAGCAGTTCTGGATGCATAGGTAGTGCATCTGTGCTTCTGGCCTGTCACTGTCTCCAGAAGCTGTGAGAACCCTGGGTAGGACCCTTCCACGCTCCACGTGTATCTCATCTCTGAGACCCCTGTCATCCACTGCCCAGGAACAGGGCACTGAGCAGTCTGCATAGAGCCCTGTGAGCCCACCCCAGCCCAGCAGTGTGTGGTCTCAGCTCCTCAGTGACCACAGCATGGACCTGACAGAGTAGAAACTCTGGCCTCAGGAACTTCTCCTTGTGTTTCATACCCCTGACCCCTTAAATGCCTTCACTGGTGTGTGGCCTGTGCACACACTGGTCCCAGGTGCAAGCCTACAGAACATGTGTAGAACACAGCCCCGTGCCCAGCCTGCGCAGCCTGGCTTGTTGTTGGTATGAAGCTACCTTGGAAGAACTTTCTCCAAGACTTCTCTTATGCACACAGCTGACCACAGTCTTTATATGTGTTTGTCCACTTTTCTCATAGACTCTGACTTGGGCAGATAAAGTTAACAAAGCATGCAGGCTTCCCACAGTGCAATGGGGTCTACTTTGTGAGATTCTCACCCTGACATGAGCAGAGTGTTCTCTGATCCCCTTTCCTTTGCTAGGTAGCTTTGTGGCTTTGGATGCATTACTTTTTTGTTTTTGTACTTTGTGTTGAACCCAGAGCTTTTACACTGAACTGCATCCCCAGCCCTTTTTAAATGTTTTCATTTTGAGACAGGACCTTGCTAAGTCATTAAGTTGACCAGTTTGGGCTTGAACTTGTGATCTTCCTGCTTCAGCCTCCCAGAGTGCTGGAATTACAGGCATATGCCATCATGGCCAGCATGGGGGAGTTACTTTTAACCTTGGTGTTTGCAATGAACAAAAGGGACTTACAATACCACCCAGGGAGGGAGTGTGCGTCTGGAAGCTGTGAACAGCCATAGGCTGCCGTTCTAGTGACCTCTGGGAAAGCTGATATGGCACAGCTTGCCTCAGGCCTGCCTCTTAGCACAAGCCACTGTAGGAGGAGTGGGGGAAGGGCTGGTGTCCTCTGTGCCTGCTGCCCCATTCCTCCTGGAGAGACGCTGGTTGGACCCCTGGGAGGGAATGTGCTCAGGACTGGCTCCCTCTGTCCTGTCGGGCCGTCCCAGCCCATCTCACATTATTTCCTCCATCTCTGCCAGGAGTTGCTGCTCCTCAGAAGTGACTTCTCTCTCCCCCTCATCTCTAGGCAGATAACTATCGAGGAAGGGGAGCAGCGTGCCAAAGAACTGAGCGTTATGTTCATTGAGACCAGCGCGAAGACCGGCTACAACGTGAAGCAGGTGAGGCCACACCTGGCGCTGGCCCTACATGACTGGGTCATGGAGGCCCACAACTGGCTTCTGGGCATTGTCGGCCTGAGGCTGGGACCTGCTTGCCCTGGGCTGTGTTGGGGAACCTAACCAGAGAATCCATAAATCTACCCAGTTGAGAAAGATGCAAGTGAATGTCCAGAGTTGCAAAGCACGTGAAAGGAAGTGACATCCCCTCGGGGGCTGTCAGGACAGTGTCAGTCACTGGCCATCCCAGGAGTGACCAGTCTTGGGCCTCTGCTGGGTAAGTGTCCAGCACTCTCAAGTGCCTGAGAACTATAGTTCTTAGCATCTGCATCCTGGGCTCCTGCCTTGAACTTGACAAGTGCTTGGGACCCTGGAGGGCAACTCAGCTTTGCTTGGAGCAAAGAGCCTACCATGCTGGGCTGAGCTCACAGGAGGGAGAGCAGGTGGAGCTTAGGGCTGAGCCTCCAAGCGCTGTGCCTAGCCCAGATCCACACAACCCAAGTAGCCCAAGGACTGGATTCAGCAGGTCAGCAATTTGGGATAGAGAAGTCCCACTTTTCCTGTCACTGGCCTGTAGCTTGTGTAGCATGTTCTTAACAGTGACAACTGAAGTTATCAGTGCCACAGTTTCTCACTGACAGAAATCACAGGTGTTTTCTTACTATCACTTGTCATTGATGGTTGAACTTTATATGAATCACTTCTTCGGTATCGTGGTACGTACTACACCTACTGCTGGTTCTTGCTGTTTAATATGTTTGTAAGAAAGGCCAGGTGTCACTGTGTCACAAATTTGCATCTTTAAATAGTTAGAAGTTTAGTTCAGCATCAAATATTTTCCTTCAGAATTCCATGTAATCGATTTCACACATTAAAAGGAGACCCTAGTTTTCACTAGACTGCCAAAGGGATCCTTGGCTTATGCCAAGGTGAAGATGACCCAGCTTTGAGATTGAGGAGGACTTAGGGAGTGGCTAGGAGGGAAGCATTTGGGCAGGGGCAGCATGGAGCAGAGGGAGCGGAAACTCACCTTGTCCTCAGGGATCTCTTGTAGTGTAAAGAGCCCACTGAGTTTCTGCAGTTGGTATTTGTGGAGAGAGGGACAGTATTTATTTATTTGTCCACTTGAACAGCTATAATAAATCACCAAAGACAGTATAGCTTATAAACAGCAGTAATTTGGTTCTCTTAGTTCTAGCGGGTGGGAAGTCTCAGATCGGGGTGGTGGCAGTGTCTAGTGGGGGCATGTGTTTTGGTAAATAGTACCTTCTACAGTCGCGTGGAAGGGTCACATGGGCTCCTTTAGGTTCACAAGGGCTCTGCCATCAAGACTAGCCACCTCCTAACAGCCTTACCTGTAAGACTGTCACATAAGTTTCAACAAATGAGTTTTGGGAGTATGCATACGTTCAGCCCATAGAAGTTTGGGGTCTTATGCTACTGCTTTGAGCTTTTTGCCTCCAAGATTTCATGTCTGCCAGCACCTCCCCGGCACATCCCGCAACCCACCATCAACTCAACGTGCCCACACTTACGTAGACTCAGATGCATAGAAAACCTACTCATCCATACACATGTACCAAATACGCCTTTCCCCACGCTTACCCAGATCCACTTAAAACACCACCTGTTCATACCTGCACACACACTTGTTCCCTGTATGCTTTTATGCACACATGTACCATTCACAGCACACACAACATTCTTCACATACCCTTACAGACAGCACACACGTTCCACACATACCATGTACACATCACCCATACATCCACACACCTGCACAGTATCATGTCCACACTCCCATATCCTTCTTGACTGTGGTCCTGATTCCCATCATGCCCAGCCTCATTGCCTGCAGACCATAGGACTCTTGTGGAGAGAGTTGTTTGTCCCAAAGGCAGGTCCAACTTGGCTTCCTAGGACCAGTCCCTGTGAGGTCAGCAGCAGAAGCCCACCTAAAGGCCTGAATACAGGGGGCCTGGATCATTCTTTGCACCAGAATAGCTTCCTTGCAGTCTCTGCTATGGCGCAAGCTCATTGCTACTGACCCTGTGGGCAGCCTGCTTAGGCTTTGTTCTCTCTTTCCTCATTCTGAGCCCTGCCAGCGCGCCTCTGTGAGAGGCACAGGTGGAGAGGGGTACAGAGAGTTTAGGAGCATCCCTGTCCATGAGGGCTCTGTCCCTGGCAGAGCAGACAAGGGGTGGTGAGAGGGTAGAAACTCAGCAGGGTTGGGGGGATGGCCAGGGGTGGGGCTCACCTTGCATTTCCCCCTTCTTGGCAGCTCTTCAGACGTGTGGCATCGGCTCTGCCTGGCATGGAGAACGTCCAGGAGAAAAGCAAAGAAGGGAGTATCCTTTTCCTCTGTCACATGAGCAAAACATGTGCCAGAGAAGCCATTTCTCCACACTTAAGATTATAGCTGGGCCATCTTTCAGTCCTGTCCAGCTCCAGCCACAAATGCCTCTTCTTCCACAGCACTGAGGGGCAGCTGGGGGATATGTGTGCTGTGGTGCTGTATGGCAGGGAGGGAGAAGTAGTAACTCTGCCCTTTCTAGTGAACAATCTGCATTTTTCATGAGAACAGGTAGACTCCTCCACTACAGGGAAGGGTTCTGTGCAATGTAGATGTGACTGCACGATCTCAGTCTACACAAGATGATTCCCTCAGTTAACAACACCTTCCATGTCCTGCTTGCTTCCTGTGCCCAGCCCCACACAGCCCCATCTCCCCACTCCTTTGTGGAATAGGGTTCCACGTCACCTGCATAATCCAACCCAAACCTGAGCCCACACTTAGGTGCTGAAATTGTGGTTCAAGGGTGCTGCCTGATTTGCCTAGTGCCCCACAGCATGTCCGTTTGGGAGTTAGGATTCATACTTGGGCTTGCTTCCTCACCCAGCCCAATTCCATTTGGGGACAGTGTCTCTCAAAGGGCAACAGAGAGGACAAGACGAGAACTGCTTTGGTTCCACCTAGTCAGATTCCCTGCTTGAGTAAGCCCCTCAAGACTGAGCACTCAATCCCCAGCCTAAATCCTTCAGAATGGGATGAGTCCCTGCACAGCAACGTCCCAGCATCCTTTACTCATCCTTATAGGACAAATCAGAGAACAGTCCAAGAAGTCAAAGGGCAACTTCAGGCCGATGAGGGTTAAAACAAGTAGCTTCATATTGGAAGTCAAAAGGAGTTGACATCCTAGCCACACTTGTCCCTCCCCTCTGAACCAGATTGGGGGCAGGGTCTGGACACTAAGAATCTCAGAGGATGCTGACTCCCAAAGAACAGGTTCCCCAGAAGTCCCAAGATGTCAAACAATAGTTGGTGTGTCCCCGAAGGATAGGCATGGCTGAGGGAAATAAGTGTGGGATTGTGTCTTCATTGGTCGTCATGAGACTCCAGTTACATGTGAAGAAACAGATTCGGGGGCTGTCAGGGGCTCCACATAACTCTCAATGGAAGTGCTGGGTGCCACACCTCAGGAGAGAGCCTTCATGGTGTCACCTGTCACATGCCCTCCTTTGAGGTGCCAGGAACATACGGAAGGCAGCCTGCAGGATCATGAAGAGAGAGGAGGGGAGTCAAGGTGTAGATGTTCCCTGCACATCTGACAAAGGGAGAAGGGCTGCAGACAGCCTGATCTCATTTTCCCACTGCAAAGGTGTGGCCCACTGACTGGGGAGGGTGGTGACCATTTCCTTCACATTCTCCCAGAGACCCATGCCGGGCTATGGTCAGGTTAGTTGGGCTTAGTCCAGGGTGACACCTAGCACATCTTTATCATAGTGTGTCTTGCATCAACCAGCCATGGCTAACCTGTGGGCCCCTGGGGAGAGAAAGTGCAAAGGGTACATAGTAAGCAGACTACAAGGATGAGGTCATCTGGGTCCCTTTTACCAGGCATGGGATCTCCCCTATCTAATAGACCCAGCTCCCCTCACACTGTCTAGGCCTTCTACAAGACACAGGTGGAGCAGCCTTGAATAGATCGCTGAAGGGTCCAAGTGGAGGTGGCAGCCACTCTGGTTTAGCCAGAATGGTGGGGCAGTGCTGCTGTTTATTGATGGTTCAAACCATCAAGCCAGTGTTCAGAACATTGAAGATGTATATGGTACTCCAGGGTTAATGTCTGGAATTATGATCAACATCAAGACCAACCACACAGTACCTTGTGATGTGCTAGATGGTCACACTTGGCCTTATCTACTCTGCCAAGGACGTGACGAGTGTGTGGGCTTGGGGTATCTGTCTTTTGTTTCTAGGTGCAGTTGAGGGGCTGTTGTACATCATCTTCATACCTAAGACAGAAGGCCTCCCCAGGGCCACAGTCTCTCTGTCCAACACCCCCTTGTCTATTTGTCTTCCCTCTGCTCTCAAGAAAGGGGGCTGAGGGCCGGGGATTTAGATCAGTGTTTCCGGTGCCTGCTTCACAAGCCCAAGGACTTGAGTTCTGTCCCTGGTACCAAAAAGAAAAGAAAGAAAAGAAAGGGGGCTGAGAGGCCATAAAATGGTAGAGCCATATTCTCTTTGCTGGATCTATACACACAAGGCCCCTTTCCTGAATCTTCCCAAACAGTATGCTCTGTGGCATGGGCCCTGTGCTCTTCCTGAGCAAGGTTGGCATATACAAAGGAATGGCAGTAACTTGGGCATGTATGAAATGGTCCTAAGGAGAAAGGACGGTAATGTGTCACACAGGGAAGAGCATGCCCAAAGCCTCCCAGCTGCTTAGTTGACAGACCTGGTACCAAAGCCAAATATCTGTGTCCTACAGCCATTGAACTCTCCCAGAGCACTGAGGTGCTTTGATGGTCCAGACAGAGAGGACTGTGCTGACAGAGTCGAGAGCTGCTAGCATGCCAGCCATTTGGGCAAGATCACAACAGACTGTCTGGGCCCACTCATCATGATTTCAGGAGCCAAAGGATAGTAGCAGTAGGTCTTGAGTGTTGTCTGTGAGCCAGAGGGACAAGGTCCACTCACTTTGCTCTGCTCAAAGAAGACACAGCGAGCCTCTCAAGGCCTATGGGAATCATCCACAGTGAGTTTTCTCTTCTGGGGATTTTTTTATACTTGGCTGCACTTGTTCGTCCTTGTTCTTTACTGTCACCAAGCAACCCCTGAACACTAAAGGTCAGTGGTATGTGGCATTACAAGGAAAGATATGCCATTACATGATGGAGTATGTATGAAAGCTCCTGGCAAATGATCTAAACCTTTGCATTCCAAGACTATAGCCAGTGTTTTAAATCTGTTGTAGCAGTGTCTTTAGAATGCCTTCAAGGTACCTGTGCATCAGGACTCTCCAAAGAAAGAACTTGTTAGAAATACACATCCTGGGCCCATCCCCAGATCTAAGGCAGGGCCTGGGACAATTTTCTGAGATTTTTTGATGTAATCTGAAAGTGTTGTGCAGTATGCAAGAGTATTCTGGATCAGGTTGCACATGTGATGATTTATGGTTAAGGGCAATCAAGTAACTTCCGTATTGGACATTATGTAGTGCTGTGATAGTTGCCAGCCTTTCAGCTAAACCGGTGAAGTGATTCTCAACTGCAACTGATCCTAAGTTTGGGGGAAGGGAACAAGAGCTATGAAATCCAGTGAGTGGAGGTCAGGGATGCTACTTCATAGCTACCTGCACAGGACAGCCCTCGCAAAGAATTGGCTGGCACAAAATACCAGTGGTGCTGAGGCTGAGAAACCAGCACAGGATGGACGAGGCATGGCCAGGTCATTTAAGAGCATAACTCCAGGCTGGGAGTGTAGTTCAGTGGTAGAGCATGTCCTTAGCATGTGTGAGTGCTTACCATGTTTGAGGTGTGGGTTTGATCCCCAACCCCAGTGTAATTAAAGGCATAATTCTGGGGTCAGGCAGCCTTGCATTTGTACCCAGTCTCCTTGACCTCCTTGCTGGACAGTGCATGTTTTACTTGTCACCCTACAGGTTTGGTGTAGTGCAGTGCCAGCACAGAGGGACTCTGTCTTATACATGAGCCCTGACCAAAGACCAAGGACAAGTTTTACAAGTGGAGCTGGGGAGGGAGTCTGGGTGTGGGGGAGGGGACAGCATGAGCAAAGGAAAGCAGAGGGTATGTTTGCAAAGGGGAAGATCTGGTTGCTGGAGGTGTGATTGCATGAGCCAGAGTCCACTGACTTTTGGGCAGGCTTAAGTGCCGGAGTGAGAAATCTGTGGAGGTGGTGTTTCAGCACCAGGTTATGGTGTAATGTCACCAGAGCTGGCTTTGGGAAACCGCCGTGCCAAGAAAGGGCTGGGTGGGCTCAGAGGGGACACCTGGAAAAGACCAGGAGTCTCCAGAGAGGCCTATGAGAAGTCTAGAAGTACAGTTGCGGACTGGAGCCTACTGGGGCTGTAGGGGCCACTGACTCACAGCTGGCAGAGATCGGCAACAGGGCATTCTTGGCATTATGTTTGCAAAAACACTAGGGAGTAGAGGAGTAGAACCATTTGGCTGGAGTAGAGAGGACCACGCTGGGTTGCAGTGGGAGGTGGGAAGGATGGCAATTGTTTATTGCCTGTTATTCATTTATATTATGCCATGGTATAAAAAGTATATGTGTGTATATATGTACACATAAATACATATACACAAGATAAAATTGTATATATCTATGTCTGCAGACACATGAGGAGAAGAAAAGCCATACCCAAAATACATCCCCTTCTGAGTGGTTTTAGAGGTAGCTAAAACACTAGTTCTAAGCTTCCTTATAGCCAAGGCAAGAGGAACAATGTAGATTTCAGGAGATGCTTGTCTTTTTACGGTACTTTAAGCCAAAAGGTTCTCTCCTATATCCTCAAATAGGGGCACCAAAATATTCCTGAGATGTCAACATCAAGTCCTATAGGAGCACTTGTTACACCACCCCACCCTACCACCCCAATCCAGTGCAGATCCTGCCCAGGTACCAAAGCCCAGTGCATGAAGTGATGTACAGTACTCAGTTTGGTCCTCAAGTGCCATTAGAAGGTGGCTCAGTACAAGGCTGAATCTCAGTCTGGGCTTTCGGCCTGGTGAGGAGGTAGAGGGAGTAATCTGGCTGTGCATTTTGAATTTATTCCTACAGACCCTGAGGGTGCTGATGGAGAGGGCTGGAGAGAGCTGTGTTTAGGCACCATGGCTGTGGCTCCTGACAACCATGCTCAGGATTAAGTGGTATACCCTGACAAACGCTTGAGGGTTTGATGTTCCAACTAGGGCAAGGCTCACTTTCCCCTGTGCTTTGAGATGGGAGCACCCACACCTGACCCGCTGGGCACTTCCTGTCCAGTGGATTTCAGCGTAGGACCAATAGGTGATAGGGTCGAGGTTGTGAATGTGCACTACCCTTTGAGCCCTAGTCACCAGAGAAAGCTTCTAAGATGGGGGCTCCCTGTCCTGTGTTGTCAATGATGACTCCACATCACGGTCCAGGACAAGCTTTGCTTGGTGTGGACAAGGGTTGGGAGGTGATGGCTGTGTGGGCAAAGAAGAGAAAGTGGGAGCTGACGACCACATCCTTCCCACACCAGCCCCGCAAAGAGCTGAGTCCCTGGGTGTTTGCAGAGGGACAGAGTAGCAATTTAAGGGGTCACAGGGCAGGACTTGAGGCACGTGGTAGCCTCTCTGAGAGTCATCTTCCTTAGCCCAACCTCCTTCAGTGATCGACATCAAGTTGGACAAACCCCAGGAGCCCCCGGCCAGTGAGGGTGGCTGCTCCTGCTAATGCAGAGCCGGACCCATGGCTTCCTACACACTACTTGCTTGTTGTGTTGCTTCCTATTGGTTAGCTTCCTAATGGGGGTGGGAAACAAGTTTACCAAGATGGGAGGATTTTTCTTTTCTCTCTGTCTCTAGGAGTAGAGTGGGATAGGGAGGGAGGCTGGGCATCAGGGATCACATCACTCCTAACAGCTGTTACTTAAACAACTATTTTTGGTTTGGTTGTAATATATTGTACTTTATTAAGATTGCCAAAAACTGTTAAAATTTAAAAAAATTTAAATCATGTGTATACAACTTTTTGCCAGATAAAAATGTAGTCATTTTTATTTGAAAGATGTGCTTTTTGTTTTTGTATATTTGTAAACTTATAGAGAACCTTTTCCACACACCCCTTCCTTCCTATTCTCTTTGAACTGTTTATCACCTCTGCCTTCCTCCCATCCCAGCCCAGTAAATTAAAGCAATTAACTGAGCAACATAATTAGGCTCCAGGCCAGGCCATCAGGCCCAGACCAACCAGGCCCCACCATCCAGGCCCATGAATGATGAAATCAAACATTGGTTGAACAGAACAGCCTCCAGAGAGGCAGTACTGCTCAGGCCTTCCACAGGCAGTGCGGGACATTGGCATTAACAGGGTCCTGAGCTGAAATAAACACCTTGCAGACTGTAGGAAGCCCACAGCAGGCCCTGGAAGATTGCTTCTGCCTCTCCTTTTCCTCCCCTAAAAAGTCATGAAGGAAGTGGAAGGCAGAGGCACCTTATGTTCTCTGTGCCTGCTCGGTGACCAGCAGAGCAGAAGCTCATAAGAAGGACGGGTGCTGTTGGCAACTGCAGGCTGTAGTAATATGTGGCTTTATAGACTAGGGCGCACCCCATGTAGTTCCAAGATCTAACCAACCTGTCCAATGGTCAGCACACACAGCTGGGTTGACTCTCAGAAACTCAGTGTGTGATGCCGAACAGGATATTACCCGGGAGCCCTCCTCCTGGCATGGCAGGGATGCTGGAGCCTGTACCACATGCTGTTGGTCCCTCTGTGGCTGGGAGGGGAGAACTGTCTGCAGAACTGCCACCTCAGAAGACACATATTCTCAGATCCTCAGTTGCTAATACTTCTGCGTAGTGTTCTGGGAAAGAGCATATCCGATTTCTCAGTATGTTTTCAGACATTGGCATGGTACAGTTGAAATCTTTGTTTGCGTACCTTTGTGGATATTGTGGTTACACTGTGGGCACCTGGAAGTAGGTCTAAAGTGGGGTTTCCAGAAGGCTGCCCAGGGTCCTGGGCTCTGCCAGGCCACAGAAAGCCACCCTTGCCCCATTGACTCCTTCCTGAGAATGGCTTAATCCTCAGAACCTGTCAAATCCCTGAAGAGAACCTTCCCTTCTGTGTATTATAACTTGGCCAGCATTCCAAATTGACCTGGATTCTCCTCCCCTACGCCTGTACAGTCTGGCAGGAGGCTTTCACTAACCAAAATGTAAGCCCTTCCCACCCAGGTGGCCTTGGCTCTTCCTTCAGGCTGCCAAGGGGATGCCATAGATGGGCTGCAGTACCTTCTGAGGTATGGCAGTCTAACAAGATTGCTAGAATGGACTTTGGAACTTCTCAGAAAATAACCTAAAATGGCAGCCAAGAATTTAAAATGAAGAGCTAATGTTTGTGCAGTAGGCTTGCCACATGCCTTCAGCCTGGGAGATTGTGTGCCCAAGCTGATCTCTAGAGAGGAATTTATCTTCAGATGAAGAGGAGAGGAAGCAGGATTCCAGCAGGCACCTCCTCTGGAAGGCAAAGACCAATGTATAAGCATAATTTAAATGTCGTGTTTAGTTTTTATATGTGTGTACATAATTATATATAGAGATAGACTTGTGTATACACCTTCCACAAACACATCTTCACACAGAGATACATGTGCTCAATGTATATTCTTGTCTTTCCTGCTCTCAAATTGGAACTTGCATTGTGAAAAAGTTTCAGAAATTCAAAAGTACTGCAACGTGTTGAAATAAGAAATAATATTGTCAAATAATTTGTGATTGTCTTGCCATCAATAAAGTAATGCATAGGTGTGTTAAACTACAGGCAAAAACAGCCCACAGAAGTATCTCTACCACCTCTCTATGTACTTATATTCACGGGTGTGCATGCCTGTGTGGGCCAGTGTCCCCCACTGTGAGCACACCCCCAAGTGGTGCTTGTTGGAAGAGTGCTTACTTACCTCGTGAGAATTTATAGGAGTCTACATTATAGTGTCTGGCCTGGTCGGCCGTAAGGACCATCACTTACAGCCTCTGGGACAGCCCCATGGACAGCGATCTGCACTGTGTCTTAGAGAAAGAATGTATGGTAGATTTAAATTTTCTTAGACTGGAGAGTAGCTCTTCTTAAAACACCCTATAAAACAAAGTAGAAACTCACTTTCCTTCTCTTGTGTACACAGTCCAAGGCACCATGGTCTGTTTTTCTACTGTGGCCTAGAGGAGTAGTATGCGGCACTAGATGTCATTATGGCCTGATTGAGTCCTGATCGTCCCAGCCTGCGCACAATATCCTCTCTCAAGAACAATTTCTCCCAATCCCTGTAGCCTCAGTGGGTGAGAGTACTGCCTGCTTTTGTCCTCATATCCCATGGTGCCCTGGCCCTCCTCTTCTTGGTCTGATTACCACCCCTCCCTTCATGGGGTCTCTTAAGGCATCCAGACAAACCTCTTTCACAAAAGCGTGTTGGCTTCTTGATTCCCATCCTGAACAGGCACGGTCACTGCCCACTTGCTTGTAGGTAGGGTCCTGATTTAGAGTTAAAGTTTAATAATAAAAGTCAGCTCCTCTTGAAGATGTCATGAAGTTGCCTCCACCTCCCCAAAAGAGTTGTGCCACTTTCCTGAGTCCGCATGACTTAGTAGGCAACAGAGTGGATTTCTTTCAGGACATGATCTCAATTTAGTTATTCATTCCCTCTCCCCAAAGACTAGACCTGACCTGGCAGATAAGCAGGATCCTCTTCTTTAGGACCTCTTTTCTTTAGGGGTCTCAAAGAAAAGCTGTCAGGGAAGCTCCTGTTCCACATTAGAACAGGTGGAGGTTGGAAAGGCAGATAGCATATTTACAAAGGCACACATGTGCCAAAATGAAGGTGGACATCAGTGTCCAGCATGCTATAGCTGCAGCTGTGTGGTCCAAGATTAGCCTGCCTGGTGACTAGTTTTCCCTTGCTCACAGGCCTTGCTCCTGATACTGTTGCCATCCTCTTCCTGTCACCATCCTTAAACATTCTGCAGTGTTCTGGAGGGAAGCAGTGGGCAGATGAAGTTCAAGTATGTTGGGAACAGAGGTGAGCACTAAGGGTAGAAGCAGGAGGTGCACACACCTGGGATGCAGTCACTGCCACCCAGTGGCTAGCCAGTGCCAGGAGTCCTTCAGTGTCAGTTGTAACAATAAAGGGATGGCATTGCTGGCGTTGGTGTCTTGCAGATAAAGCAGCCTCATTCCTTCACAAGATGGAAAGCGAGTGAGGGCGTCAGGAGAGACCAGGAGGCCAAACCTGTGGAGCAAGTTAGAGCAATGTAACGGGCGCCCAGACAGATCTGTGTCTGTGTGCAGGAGCCACTCAGGGTGGTGTGCTCGCTACTTTCCAGACTACCTCTCCCCAGAGAATGTGAGGCATTGTCAGCTTGACACAAGTGTGAAATAGAGGGCCGTAACTCTTCTGTCGCACAGGTGGGAGAACCAAGATAGCAACTTGCTTAAACTCACCCAGCAAGTCAGGAGTGCTCAGAAGCAGGGTGGTGGCATTCTTTGTCCGTTGCTGACCCGTGTACAGATGGGACTGCATACTTGTGTGGAAAGGACTGCTGTCTGTGTTTATGAGTCCCTCTATTCTGTCACTAGGACAGGAGGTTCTTCCTAGCATGTGGAGTGAGCTAGAAGACAGGTCTACTTTGCGATCTTCCACTATGAAGAGCCAGTCCCCAAGTCTACTTTGGTTGTCTTAGACACCCACACAGATCAGGACACCCTTTGAATTTGTTTGAAATTAGTTATTGTAATGTCAGTGTACAAATTTCCAGGCTTGAGACTCATCTGGTTGGCATTCCCAGCAGGGTATGGGTTATTAGGAGTACCTGGCAGCGGGGGTTCGGATGTCCCTTCAAGTAGGAGGCCTCCTCAGCACTGAAGGCCAACCCACATCTCATGGTGTGAGTCACCTTCTCCCCTCACTTTCCCCTCACCCAAAATTATTGGTCGTGAGAACAGAGGATGCTGTTTGTCTCTTACAGGCTCAGAAGGCACAGTTGGCCATATTGACTTTACATTAAACTGTGTAAAATGTGGAAAAGACTCAGCATGTTGGTCAAACAATAAACTGTCCTAATTCTCAACACAAAGCCTGTCTTGTCTGATGCTTCTAAGTGGCACAGTCCTAAGGGGAAGGGGACTCAAAAATGTTTCAAGTACATGCTCCACAGAGAACCTGAGATGGCTGGGTGGTATGTCCCCTACTCAGAGCGCTTTGTATCTTCTCTGCTCACCTGCTTCTCCACCAGCTCTGAAGGGGTAAGGCAGGACACATTCGTGAGATCACATCCACTTATTCCCAGAAAGGAAGTCTCTAGGTAGAACCAGGACTCGTATTTGCCATCACTGCTCCTCACTTGCCATAGCTGGGAGTTATGAAAGTTGCAGCTGGATGGCTTGTCCTTCTGATTTCGATAGGCAAGAACTTAAGAGGAATCCCGATCACCTTTCAGATGACACCAGCCAGCCACACAGCCATTTCCAGCCTTTCCCACCAGTGAAGGAACATCCCTGTGGCCCCAGGTCTCAGACTAGAAGGTACCCTGATAACTACTCTAGTTCTGGGGCCTATTCCAAAGACACAATCACCCTGCCCTGAGGATGCTGGACATCTTACTCTTTAGGTCAAAGAGGTTCTAGAACCCCCTCCAATCTGCTCCTTAGAGGCTATTTCAATTAGAAAGGAGAGGAAATAATTTCCTTGCCCACTAAGCCTGACTTACAAAGTCTGAAGTAGAGCAGGCAGAGGAACATCAAGGGGAGAGGGTTGAGTGTCAGAGTAGAGGCTTCATGGGCCAGAAGGCCAGAATAGAAGAAAAGCAGAACTTCTACATAATTACAGTGCCCAGAACATTTCTTCACACTGCCAAGGAAGTGAATGCTTTCACTGCCGTGGTGCTGACACAGCTGCCCAGTGGCCCTGGCCCTTGGTAGGCTAAATATCTGGAGTTCCCCACATACATATATAAACATGACACTTGTGGAGAGTACTCTGCTAAAAGTGCACAGTATGAGTTGGGCGTGCTGGTGTAGACCCGTAATTTCCAGCACTTGTGAGGGTGAGGCAGGCAGGAGGATTACAAGTGCCAGGCCAGCCTGGGCTATAGTGAGTGCAAGGCCAGTCCGGACTACACACCAAGATCTTGTCTCAAAACACCAAAAAAAAAACACACACACACACACAAACAAAACAAAAGTACAGTATGGCATCTGGGTATGCTCAGGATGATTTTCCTCCTTACTGTACAAAAGTGGAGGTCAATATACTAAACTCAAATTTTACCAATATTTAAGTCAAATGAACACAGCCAAGTGAGTGCCTGGCACACGTCAGGACCTAAAAGAATACTGGCACCCAGGAGGCACTGATCAGAGGCTACAGGAACAGACATGGCAGCCTGCTTGGGCTGCAGGGCCGGCACAACAGCACAAGGGCAATGATGAGGGCAGCATGAGGCTCACAGTGCCCAGTAGGCCAGGGAGTCCATGGTGGGAGTTTACACTAAGGTGTGGTGGACCACATCCAGCTACCTGCTGACATTTGAGATCCAGTTATAGACATAACTTTGCTTTTGAAGACGATCTGCAGGCTTTGAATATAGCCTCAATCTTGCTCCTATTCCTCACTTTTTTCATGTACTGCTTCTCTAGGAAAGTAAGTAACATTCACCAGAAAATACAAAGAAACTAAGAACGCAAGCCTCTCCACAGAAGCATCGAGCCATTGGTTTTTAGTCCCATGAGTACCTGCTGTCATGTGAACAGGTCATTCACATTCCTTCCTGATTTCTGATTGTTCTCACCTACTCCCTTAAGTTACCCCTTAGTGAGGAGAAGAGCAAGAAATGAGTCCAGAAGACAACAGTAACACTAGCAGCAATGTGGCTTCATATGAGAACTGCGCCTGTTGACTTCTCCATCTCAAGGTGCATTTATCATCCTGTACCTGCAGCAGTTGATAGCTTTGGGGTGTGCAGCCTGAAGCACCTGCACCAGGATGTGTGATGGTATTCTCAGAGCCCACATGGCACACGGAAGGGACCTGTGACAGCTGACTGACACTTGGGCTCACTCAGACATCCCTAGCCTGTGCTGGTATTCTGACTGGCCCTGATCCCTCAGGGCAGGCTAGGTGCACTGCTGTGTGCTCCCAGAACACCTGCACCCTTGCATGCTGAGGTTCCGTGGCTGGCTCTTCCCCTCCCACACCCATCCCCCGGCTTTACTGGGCTCACCAGAGTGCACGAGATGGGACAGGAGAGTCTGCTCCAGTGCACACTGCAATCTTTAGGCTCAAGTACTTATAGTTAGGCCTGAATCCCAACACCTGTGTTCACTGTATTAGTCTATCAAATGCTCAGAGCTAGAAAGCCCATTTTATTTATCAAGAAAAGTATTAACCACTTACAAAAGCAACAAAAAAAGCCAAATATTTAAGACGGAAAGGACATCACTTTGAAAAGGCAACTTTAAAAGCATGAATACCCACCCCCAAAATCTACAAAAAAACCTTTTCAGATTTCTCGATACACAGCATTCTAGTGAAGGCTACAAAAGAGGAACTGATCAGATAGCAAATGGAGCCAGGAGCCCTAGGCCATCCACAGAATTAAAAGGTGTCTAGAGCTCCCACAACCCCAGCAAACCACCAGGACACAGAAGAGGCATTTGAGGATTTAGCATTTTTAATTCTATCACCTGGGAAAAACACCAAGGGTTCCTGCCAAGCTTTTAAATGTGAGTGCAAAGACTGGCGTGTGGACAAGTCAGTGAGTGGATTAAGAAACCAATGTCAACTCTACCTTGCTGTGTTCACACATGGGAAAACTAACTCTACCTAAAAATCTGAGAACTAAGGACTAGACAGTGTACTGCCCAGGGACAACTGGAAATCAGCTGGCTTCCTAAATAGATGGTTTGTTTCCAGGAAAGAGAACAAAGCACAGAATCAAGGATGAGAAAACTTCAGAAAATAACCATGTCCTGACAGAATCTTCTATGTAGAGTTTGCTTGTTATGTCACAAAGACTTTGACCTTAAATCAAACACATGCTAAAGGGACACTTAATACCAACACTTAATATGAGAGTTAAATAAAAGTGGTTTGTTTGAAAGGGAGCAACAGCAGAGAAAGGAACTAAAACAAAGAAACTTCCAAGCTGGTGTGAACAGTAATTTGTTTCCAGTACAAGGAAATGTTCCTAAGCACATTTTGTACCTTTTATCAACTCCCGACTACCACAGCTCTTCTTTCAACACTGCCAGTCACACAGTCACACACACTCACTCATAGCTTGTGCTCCAGAGTTGCCCCTCAGGCAATTTTAGCCAGCCATTTCTCTAAGTCCTGGATGTCAGCAGAACCAGCATCTCCTCTTCCACCCTTGGCACTGCACTCAAGGAACTCCACTTTGAGGGGCAACTGTGAGAACTCAAATTCTTTGCCTTTCTTTCCAAGATGAGCAGGGGCAGTACTGGAACTGTCCAGTGTGCTGGGAGCAGCAGAGCGGGTAACTCGTAAGGTGTTGCTATGGGACAAAAAGGAAACAAGCCAGGAAGCAAAACTTTTTATCCAGCAATTAAATCATATTAGTTTCTAATATTTTAACATGAAGACTTAATCATAAACCTGTCAGTTAGGCAATTAAGGCTGCTGAATAACCATGTATATAACCAGATGTGGGTCCAACCTTATCAGCCAGTGGACCCAGGTCACACCTTTTATCCCAGGGCTACCTTCTACTAGGCTCTCCTGAGTGATGCCATTTTAATATATTGCTGTTATTAAAAAAAAAAAAAATTCTAAAGGGCTGGGGATTTAGCTCAGCAGTTCGGTGGCCTGCCTTGCAAGCGCAAGCGCAAGGACCCGAGTTCAATCCCTGGTAACAAAAAAAAATTCTGAAAATGTGGGTAACAGTGTATTTATTTTTATCTTTAGTCCATTTGGATATAGAACTTATAAATTCACAAACTTTAGAATCATCTAATTTGGAAGTTACTCTTCTCCAACCTCTTCAACCTCAGCAACTTTCCCAATTTATGTTGTCTTACTGCCCCCTGCTGGCCTTACTAAAAGTGCATCAACAACACTTTGTTGACCCTTTCTGTTACCAAGGAGCAGAGAATACATGCTGCCAACTGGCTTTCTTACAAAATAAAGCATTTCCATGTTGTTAGCCTAATGGCAAGCAATATGTATTATCTCAAGAGGGAGCATTAGGAGCAGGTAACAGACATGCAATTTCAGAAGGAATAGGAGCCATTGGAACTGTTCTGTAAAGAACCAGAAATACAGAATCTTGGGCTTTCTGGGCCACATGGTCTCTTATTTTTCTTTCCTTTTTTTTTTTTTTTTTTTTTCTTAACCTGTCTTAAAATATCAAACTACTCAGCCTGCAGGCCCTTGGCAGGAGTTTGCTCCTGCCTGGAGTCAACTAGATCCTACCAGACTAGTCCCTGATCACAGGATCGTCAGTTCCTCTGAGAACAGGGTCCGGCACATACTAGTTGCACCATTAGGTGTTTGTTCAAGGAATACAGGAGTAACTCAAGGGAAAATACTGGAAAAGCTGAATGTATATAGTATCTTCTTCATCATGTCTTTTTCTTTAGGGAAAAAAAAGTCCTTATACAAAAGCAGTAAGAAAAGATAATTTGCTTTACTACGATGCTGATGATTTCTTCTAAGCAAGCTTTTGTCTAGTTACAAAACAGCAAAACAGACATGTGGAATCCCTTAAAATTTAAAAGCTTACAGCTCAATTTACAATTTTTTAAAAAGTAAAGCAGGATAATTAATACTATCAAATAGCTTTAAAATAACACAAGAAGCTAGGAAAGAGTATTATAGATTGTTACATTCTTCCCAAGTATTCTTTTCTTTTTCTGTCAATAATTTCTAATGGCTTTAAAACTCTTTTTTTCTGACCCTCAGGTATTATTTTTATATGCATCTTTACACACTCACATGCATTACAGAGTGATGCACAGTTTTATTCATAGTTTTCAACTTAATTTCTGAAACCTTTCAACTATAAATAAGTGGTAAAATAAATTGAGCCAATGGTTTCCATAAAGTTTCACATGAAATTTTAAAATTATCTATAATACTTAATGCTTTTTATAATTCCATTATTTTAATTATTTAATAAGTATATTTCACATTGGTTTTCAGCTAATGATTCACTGATAAATTAATTCATGACAATTGAGTCATATATAACCAAACAAAAGAAATATAATTATGCTGCTTAAGGTCTAAGTGTTAAAACGTATTTATTGAATGGGTCTCCATTAATACTTACAGTTCTTTCTCAAGCTGTTGCTGAATTAACTTTGCTGATTTTGCCATTGTAATATCTATAAAGACATAAAAATGCTGTCTTAATTTAAACCAAATTGAGTCTTCTCCCAAGACTTTTTACACAGAAAATTCCTATTTGAGCCAGTAAGTTCTTTTTCATTCCTTTTCAAAATGATCTTTTATTACTATTTCCTTCTATATTGTTTTTATTTGCACATATGGGTTTTTCTAAAATAATGTTTATAAACTTATGCTGATATCCTTAAACTGAAGTTTTCCACATCTTACACACCTTTCAATTCTAATATATATATATATATCCAGTAAGTTTAATAAAAAGAAACCTTACCAACACTGTGACTGTAACAAGAACTTTCACTCCAATAGACAATACCCCATGTGTCCTTTAAAAGTAACCCCAGCAGGCTTCCAGCTGGTAACTAAGATGATATGATCAAGTAAACCACTGGTAAGAAATAAGGCTAGTATGGAAAAAAGCCCAGGCCAAATCAACATTAATTCCCTTCCTTATACTAAATAAGAGAAATAGAGAAGTTTGGTAATGATACTAGTAGGTGCATCCCTGATTAGGTGTAATTATTTTCTGATCGCTTCTGAGAAATGGTGGCTCTGCATGGAATCAGAAATGTAGTTGTGAAAGAGACCTGAAGAGACTAGTCTGTTTAAATTATTGGTAACAGAACTGAAACCCAGTTTAATTGGATATGACTTGAAACTTCTCAGTGGTTATTAGGTTAAAATTTGCTGAATAGTAAACCTGTTCAAAAGGAGAGACTCCACCCTTTTACTCCAAAATTGTGTGTGTGATAGGACATACTGTCCACTCTGGCAAACTTAATTTGGGAAAGTAAAATAATTTATAAACTCAAAAAAATAAATAAATAAAAAGCACTCTGTTGTCAATCCTTAGACTAGACTAGTGAAAAGGAACAGAAATAGATGTTCAGATTTAAAATCCTTCAAATTACAGTTCATCACAACTGTGTCCATCCTCAATAATGACAAATGGAAGTAAATGAACTAATTCTTAATAGCAACCCCCAAAAAGAACTCAGTTATGATGGCACCTTGCTTATTGCAGGCTATTAAGAATGATGGTGCATTCTTCAGACCCACGCTGTCTATGAGGACTTGATACAGAAACTCAGCCACATCTTTCACCTCTCGCTGGAATGATGCACTGTCCACAACAAACACAAAAGCCCTGGAGAGAGAGAAAAACAAAAAAACAGGCATGTGCACATGTCACAGTGAATCATTATCTTGAACAACTATCCTAATCCCTTAAAATTCAATCCTTATGAATTATATACTACAGACACAAACTCAGGTTTGTATACACGTAATCACACAACACAAAGCTTCCTTTAACAAAGAACTTTTGAGTGCTACCATGAATCAACAACTGAGGATGAAAAGACATTAATAAATGATATCTGCCCTTAAAGACATAGAAATCATATAAAATTGTATGATAACTGCCAAGAGAGAACGATGCCTTACATGATAACAAGAATAAAGAGGAAAGCCATTTAAATGAAACCAAGTCAAAGAAAACTTAAAGAAGGATGTAACAGTTGAATTTTATCTAGATAAAAAAATTGGGGCAGACTCTCTTGAAAGTGCTATGTTTGAGTCCAAACAAGTGAAGCACACATAGGAGAAATCAAGACAGTGAGTACATGGGAGATGGGAAGATGGGGGAAACCAAATCAGCCAGCAATGTATGACACACTGGCCTGTTTATGCTTTTATCTTATGAAGACTGTTGGTGCCTACATGGAAGAAAGACAAATCATAGAAGGCAACTAGAAGAATATAGTAAATTAATAACTCAGTGGAAATCTTAAGCAGAGGTTATTCTCAGCTGACAAAATCTGGAAAACGGTAGAGAAAAGAAGGACAGAGATAATAAGTTTCAATAATGTTAACAGATTTCTAAGATTTAGAAATAGAATGAGGAAACAGCATTAACTCCTCAGAAACAGCACTATCTGAAGAGACAATGGTGAGAATTTCCCAGAATTGAAGAAAGATGTGAATCTAGGTCTAGGGACAGCACACTTGAATTCCAAACACAATTCACAAAGCTGAGTCCTCACCTGGACAGAAGGTAGAACCAGACAGATTACCTACAGTGAAATGACAATCAGACTGGAAACAACATGTTCCTCTGCAACAGCAGATGCAGAAGTCTGCCTTCCATGTGACCACGAACACAACTGCCATGTAGGACTTTATACTGGGCTGAACTGTCCATCAAAAATAAGGATCAAATACAGTAAAGATAGTTTCAAGTGAAAAAAAGGATAAGAAAATTGACTACTTATCACCCTCTCTGGAAATATTTCTAAAAGATATACTAAGAAAAAAATAATCTAAAAGGGAAGAGTAAAATGGAAGAATTTTGAAAAAGAGAGCAAAGAAATCATAAATATGCTGATAAGTCTAAGCAATCAATTAAGAGGAAAAAAATAGCAATTGTTGGGAATTAAAAAGGAGCATAAACAAATGTGAAGATCAAAGAGGGTTTTAAGGTTCAGGAAAAGGAAATATATTTATTTTATACTGGGGTGCAGTGTTTTTAAAAAGAGGAGCGGACGAGAACCACAAAAAGTATGGAAATAATATTCTTTCAAAGCAGTAAAGGTAGACTACAAAGATTAAGGAAACGATTAAATCAGAAGGTAGGAATAAAAAGAAAAGTCACATATCAATATAGGACATGTCTTTTCAGTATGCATTTATTGTGATTAAAATGCCTTTGAACTTAGCTTATCGTCATATTTTCTTTTCTTTTTTGGTACCAGGGATTGAACTCTGGTCCATGCACTGTAAGGCAGGAGATGGAACCACTGAGCTAAATGTCTGGCCCTTTTCTTCATATTTTCAATGTGCTAATTCCCCCAAATTACTTCAGTCAGAGTAATTATAATGCAAATTGTGAAATACTTAGAATTGACAACAGAAAAAGAAAAAAACTTTAATCGGAAATTAATCCATGTATGGCAAAATTTACCAGTTCTACATTTGTCTCAATTGTTTGAGAATTAAAAGTCATATTCTTATCTGTGACAAATTGCTCATCGCCACCATTTTATGAGCAAGGAAGCAATATAAAAGTAAAAGCCTAAATCTACACATGTTCATCAAAAAGGAAAGAACCAATTAGCTCATTCCATCAAATCTCAGATGCCATCAATTAAAAATAACTACTATTTTAGGCACCACCAAGAGAGAGAGAGAAAACTGCCAATTAAACTATCACATTATCAACTGAAGATGCCTTCCAAATTCAGAGATGTTACAGTATGTCTTCAAATAACTGATGTGGTATACAAATTTCCTTCCTCAGTTTTTACTCAAGTTGAAGAAAGCATCTGAAACTGTACATAGGAATTTTAGGAAAGAATTTAAGAGTCAATAACACGACAGCAGATACTAAAATATGAAAATACTGTTCGGTCTTTCTCATATCTATTTTAGGTAATTTAAGAAAAGACTTAAATATACTGTTTGAGTTTAATTGCTTCTAGGATCTACAAAAGCTTTAAGATTCTTTTCTCAGATTTTAATAAGCATATATCATTAAATTCATTTCCAGAGTAAAATGTGAAATTTATAACAATGATAATAAGCAACACTTCCTAAAAACTCTGAAAAACATTCCTTAAGCATTATCTCATACAGTTCTAGCAAAGATAGGCTTGCAACCCAGAAATGGCTGACTCCAAGGTCCATCCATGTTCCTTCTACTCCAAAACATCATGCTGATTCCAGAATCCCCCATTATGTGTTTCCTCAACACAGTATGTATAGATTTCAAGCACATTTCGTTTCCTTCACACTTACCTAGCTGAAGACTTAAAACGCTCTAAGAACTGCAGCCTCAAGCTCTCATGCCCAGGAAGGTCAATCAAGGTCAAACTATTGCCCTGAGGGTGGCAGCAATAATACTCAATTAATGTTTCAGTCCAATTCCATGTTCCCAATGTAAACCTTTAGTATCAGGTTATAGATACTGACATCTAATGAATGAATCAAACCAAATAAATGATGATGGAGCATTTTCTAATAAAACACTGGTCACAATGCAAAAATGGGCACCTGAAATAAAAACACTTCTCAAATGAAGAAACAGCAAATAAATATTTAAAAAAAAAAGTGTTCAACATCACTGGTCATTCATGAAATGCAAATTAAAACAGCACTGAGATTCTACCTCACTCCAGAAAGAATGGCTGCTATCAAGAATCAACCAATAACAAATGCTGGAGGGGCTGTGGGAAAAAGGAACCCTTCTCCACTGTTAGTGGGAGCATAGACTGGTGCAACCACTGTGGATATCAGTGTGGAGATTTCTCAAAGAACTAAAACTAGAGGTTCCATTTGACCCAGCTATACCTTTTCTTGGTATCTGCCCGAAAGAATTAAAAGCATACCACAGCAATATATGCACACTCATATTTACAGCAGCACAGTCTGTAATAGCTAAATCATGGAAACAGCCCAAATGCCCATCAACTGTCGAGTGGATAAAGATGATGTGGTTCTTTTTTAATAATGGAATACTACTCTGCCATAAAGGATGAACTTCAGACATTTCTAAATGGATAAGTTCTGAAATAAATCTACATGTTTAAACTACATGTTTAAATACTGCATTGTTTCTCTGGTGTGAAAAACCGAAAGTAGAAATTAAGACTGAAATGTATAATGGATATTAGGAAATGGGAACAAAGTGTTAAAATGGGAAACGGAATAAGGGAGGAGGAAGAGAGTAAGAAAGGGACAAGAAAAAAGGTGAAAATAGAAGGAAAAAATGGAAACAAAGCTTTTGTATACAGGGAGGGGAGGAGGTTTGAGGGGGGCAAAGCGAAAGAATAAAACAAAATTTATTTTAAAAATAAAAAAAGCACTGGTCAAAGTTAGGAATGTAATTTGGTTGGCAGAGTACTTATTGAACATGCATGAAGTTCTGGGGTCAATCTTCAGCACTGGAAATATTAATAATTATAAATAAAACACTAGTTTAAGGTCTGAGGATATAAACAGTGAGCAAACATGGTTCCTGACCTAACATGAATTACACATATAAATTACATGAATCCAATGTAAAACTACTTATAAATTTCCAACTTTGAGAAATGTTCTTAGGATACTGAGAAACTCGTCTCTCTGGAAAAGTCAAGGAAAAGTGGACTCTGTGAGGCTTGAAAAATAAATACCAGTCTGAGTAAAAGCAAAAACATGTAAAATAAAAAAGAAGACAAATACTCAAAAACCTGAAAGAAGAACTTACCTGATAGCACATGTTGCCACTACTGGGATCCTCAATTCTGCTAACAAAGCACTCTTTCCACCCTTAATTTAATTTCTAAATATTTGTGTACCAGACACACCACGTATTTATTCCAAATCTGTCAATATTTTCTATCAGTTATGCCTGGGATGTGTGTGTGCATGAATGCCTGTGTGCACTCATTTTCCCCAGATTGAAGCCGGGGGTGCTCTACCGCTGAGCTACATTCGTAGACCTTTTTGTTTTGGGACAGGGTCTGAGGTGCCCAGGCTGGCCTTGAAATCATGATGCTCCTGCCTTGGCCTATCAAGTAGCTGGGATTACAGGTGTTCAGCACCATGCCTGGCAGTGCCAATTCTTGATCATCTATTGAGGGAACCCATTATGCATCCTTGTAAGTCCAATTAGCCACTCCAGACCTTCACTTTTGACTTTATGATCATTGTAGATGTAGCTGCACTCAATCAAGAGACTCAGATGTGACTCTGGTACATCTATCAGATCCATCCATTACTTCTCATCTCAGGGTTACCTTACAGCCAACCATGATCATGGTTCAGCAGAAGGACATCAGTATCTTGTACAAATTTGATGAAATTACAATTGGATTGTGACTTTTCAGATACCATAGGCAGTTCTTTATAGACAAATATAAATGCCTAGTAGCCTTTTGTTTAAATATTGGTAAGAGTCTGGAAACCCCAAATTGGGACTTACTACTCCATTTCAAAAGCAGCACAGCACCCACAGCACCCTGCAGTATTAAATTAGAAAAATATATAACTAGGTAAGGATAAGAGAGGGAGTGGTGAAAGAAGGAAGCAAAGTTTTGTCCATTCAATAAAAATATGATACAAGCCACATATATAATTGAAAATTTCCTAGTACCCATATTAAAAAGTAAAATGAATTTTAACAAGTTATTTAATCCAATATAACCAAAATATTAATATTTAATAAAAGACATTATTAATAATGTTATGTCCTTTTTACATATCATATCTTCAAAATCTGGTGGGTACTTTACCCTTACAGCACACTTCTAGTTGAACATGTCATATTTCAGGTGTTTAAGTCACACAAGACTAATGGTTACTATAGGCAACATACAGGTCTAATGTGTATCTTGGAATACTCAACTTAAAAAAGTCTGCTAAAGGGGCTGGGGATTTAGCTCAGCGGTTCGGTGGCCTGCCTTGCAAGCGCAAGGACCCGAGTTCAATCCCTGGTACCCCCCCACAAAATGCTACA